TTTTCTCAGATAAGCAAAAATAGCATCCAAATCTTAGAGATTCCAAGAGACAGCTCTTCTTGCAGATTGGGCACCAGTTTGCTTCTAATTCAGGGAGGTTTCCTGTGAAGAGAGGAGATTTGAAAGAACCCAGCATGGCTGAGTCCATGGAGGGATAACCTTGGCTGCCCAGTCAGACTTGGAGGCTGGGACATGGCCAATGTTGGCTCCTGTTGTGGAGAAGAGGAGCATCTGGTGGTAGCCTCTACCTCAAAGGTGTCTGTCAGATGTCATCTTTCATTACAGGAAGAACGGGGACTGGAGGAGAGGAGTGGATATTCTTAGCAGGGGCATGGATTAAATACTAAATCTGACATGTTGGCCATCGGGGAGTTTTCCCGTTCTCTGTCTCCAATGTTTGTGGAAAGGACAATGATGAGTTGTGGCAGAGGCAGCTGCACCTGATGGGGATTTTGATCTGCCCAGAATAAACTAGGAAAGTTGGGGGCAGCAAATGGAAAGTGTAATAGGCACATCGGCACAATTTCTTTGACACCTGGGTATTCATGGCCTCTCTCTCACCTCACCTCTCAATCAAGGAGGATTATGGCAATGTCACTGTGGTATGTACTCCTTTCCTGGAGCTCTGTGGCATAGCTGTGCAGTGAGAAGAACCTTACAAGCCGAGATGGGGAATCTGTATCAGAAAAGATTTTTCTCCAGGAAGGGTAAAAGCAGAGAGCTGGCAGGTAAGAGGAAACTAGAGGGGGAAACAGAGCAATTAATGCTCACACTTTGGGACTACTAAAGAGAGTATTTCAGGGATAGACTAAAGAATAAATGGGGGGATAATGCTGGCTTGATGAAGGGATGGCATTAGCACTAAAAGAGGCTGAGAATGAAAGGAATACAAGGAAATTAATGTTTCCTTTTGATTGTTAGATTATGGTCCTTTGAATGCAACAATCCATTAAGACAGGGCTATAGGAGCTCCAAGATTTATTTAGACCACAGAATCCTACCTCATAGCAAAGTAAAAAAATCAAGAGAACCCACCACTCAATTTAAGAACTCAATTTCCTCAATTCTCATTACCAAGTTACTTCCTTCCAGGATTTATGCTTGCTCCCAGGATCACATCATCCTGTTTCTAGAAGCTGGGTAGACTGAGGCTGAGCTATGGGGGCCTGGTTACTTATGGCTCATCCTGTGGGTCTTATCAGAGATCCAACTCAACCAACGAGTTTTCACATGCCCTCCCATCCTTAGCCAATCCTTGTCCCTTCAGCCAAAGCTCTCAAAAGCATCACTCAGGCTCTGTAACACACTGCCCACCCCTCCTCCTAGAAACAGCAGATGCCTTCAGGAGAAAGGCAGCCCAAACACCAGGACCATATTCCTGATCTTTCCAACTCTAGATCCTGGCCTGGGCACCTGGGCATCCAACTCTGATGCCTTTAAGAACTTCATTAATGGATGTGAGTTTCCCTTACTACTCCCACTGTAAAGATGAGTCACAGAGAAGTTAGGTACCTTGACTAACTTACCACTGACAAATGGTAGACCCGGGATTCAATCCCAGGAAGACCTGGGCTATATCTGTTTCTTAAGCATCTTCCCTTTGTAAGGGTGATCTATGTTTCTCTCTGGTGATGCAAGAACAAATCTTGGAAAATCCTAAGGAATATATTTCTAACATTTCAGGATTTCCTCCAAATATTATTATTAGTAAAGTAGTCCTTGGAAAGTCTCATAATCAGAGGATTTAAAGGGCTAGCCAAGAACTGGAAACACTCTACATGTCTGTCAATTCATTCTGTAGAGTGAATAAACAATGTGATAAATATTCATTAAATGAAATTCTACACACCATTAGAAAGGATTGAACTATGATTCATGCAGCATAGATGAACTTGAAACACATTATTGTGAGGAAAGAAGTACCTTATTTTATTGTGTTTTATGTTCCCTCTTCCATGGTTTTAATACATTTTAAGTTTAAAGTTTTTATCTGACAATATTATTCCAAAGTGTGGGGCAAGTCTAATCTTGCTCTCTGATGGATAGTTTCTGTGTGTAATTGGTGACTTTGGATTGCGAGTTCATCTTAGTGGGGCTTTATAGGAATTTTTATACCAGATCGACGGTGTTTTCAATAGCAGGTAGTTTTGTGCTTGCCTCTGCTAATATTCCCCCGTCCTCTGTTAGCATTTTTATGAGTATTTCTTGGTTTGGAGGCAATGAAGCTAGTGTACATTCAAACTTCCATTTGTGTAAGGTCAGGCCCATATGATTTCTCAGGGAAGTCTCCTATTTTTCAACACAAAGACCAGGCCAAGACAGAGGAGCTTTCTTGTAATTTCCATGTGCTAGTAAGGCATTTTTGTTTGTTTGTTTCACTAAGGATGTAGCCGGGAATTTTACGCAATTTCAGCTCCATTCTCCCACCTTGTTACAGTCAAGACTTTGCATCCTACACCTATGTGGCAGATAAAACATACACTCCCTGGTTCCCTAGGGCAGCAGCTCTCCACCACTTCTACTAGAGCAGGCCCAGGACCAGGGCTCTTTACTGGCCTCGTGGTTGTTGGCTCCTGTGAATTTTTTTCTTTTAAGGTCAGCTCTGCCTTAAAAAAAAAAGTGTCAGTTACATTTTAGCCAACATTTCTAGTGTTTGTAGCAGGAGGTTTTCAATTTTTCTGCTCCACAATATTTGTTGTTAAATAAGTTTTAGAAATGCTAAAGCCCTCCTTGAAGGTTCATATCATTAGCCTACTAAAAGGCCAACAATTTAACCCTTGTTGGAACAATGTACATTGAGATCTCTCCTGACTTGGATTTACCCTAAATTACTATTTTGTTTGCATATTATGAATTAGGCAGTTCTTGCTCAAGAATAGTCAGGAGCTTAGCTGTTTCCTGAAGCCACTACTTTAACCTGTCGCTAGGACTGTGTTGTACTCACAGGACAGGGGGCTTATCTTTCTGCTACAGCCTGAGAGTAGACCTTCACTTTTAAAACAAATGCCAATACTATTCATATATGTTAAAAAGCATAGAAGGAAAAGCAATCACCCTATTTTGTGCCACTTAAAAGGACATTTGCTCTTTTAGGAGGTAACACTTACTTTTCTAGTCAGTAGAATAAACACTCTGAAGGAGAGTCAAATGACTTGGTGCTATAGTTTAATCATGTGGCTTTGCCCATAGCTGTTTCCTATTCATGAAGTAGTCAACAACTTGAAGTCTTAGAATACTCTGTATAATATTATTAGACAAAATAGTTAACAGTCAATGGTCAACCCATAACATGCTGGTTTCTAATGCTATTTATTAGATTGAGATTCATGCTTAGAATTTACTGCACAGAGAGCTAGAGTTTGAAGAATAATTCCATAGCATGACAACTCTATAATTTAGTGAGCCTAGGAGTTGGTCCTTTTGGGGCACAAATGTGCTCTGTGTTTATCCTATTGTCTCTACTCCAGTAACTAATTATAATAAATAATTTTAGGAATTATATGCCCTGCCAGTAACAGAACACAAAGAATTCTGATGGCATAAATTTTTCCAAAGGGTAATTTTTAGATTAACATGATTAATCAGATGTCTATTAACTAGAATCACACTTAGGGAGATTTATGGAGCCTATCAATTACTGACTTCAATACATGCTGATTTCAAAGATATTAAAATAGGAGGTAGAGCTCATGCAAAGATTAATTGGAAACTATGCCTCCATCACTCCCTCTACAAAAGGAAAATGAAGTTCAGAATCTACCCTGATGGCTCCACAAAGAACCTTTCATTGAGATGAATGCTAGTCCTATTTCTCTACGTGTACATCTCAAAGGTTGCTTGTGTGCATCTGAGGGATCCCAAGTCCATCTCTGCCTCAAATCCTAATCTTGCCCTCTGGTCATGTTACCACCAAACCCTCAGTCTAGCTCAGGTTTCTTTTATATAAACTCACATAGCATCTCTTAAGTTTTCCAGTTGGATCTCTTATCCCACTTATTAATGTCCATCTTCCCAAGTAAAATATAAATTCTATGGGAGCATATCATTCACAATTGAAAATTCTAGTATCCTGCAGACCAGTAATGGTCTAGTCCACGTGGGCATTTGTACTGCTATTTCTCAGGAGCTTACCCTTGTGAGGCACTCGGGTTACAAAGGTAGGGAAGATGGAGTCACTGTGGCTGAGATGGCATATCCCGGCCTCTCTTTCAGTTAGGTGTGACCCTGTGACTAAGTCCTCTCATAGGAAATGTGACCAGAAATGGTGCGTGTATGCCTCTTGGCAGCCTACCCTTGACATCTCCAAGTGCTTCTCCATGCACTCTCCCCTTCTGACTGGTTGGGATGAAGGTGACCACAGTCACCTTAGGAACCAGAGAACAGAGCCTCCCTTGACCTGGATCCTAGAAAAACCTGCCCGAAGCACACCCACTACCCCCTGGGATGCCTGAGGTGGAACAGAGCCTCCCTTGACCTGGATCCTAGAAAAACCTGAAGCACAGCCACTACCCCCTGGGATGCCTGAGGTGAACTAGGTGACACAGTAATACAATTCTTGTTCTTAAAGGCCCTGAGATTTGGGGGTCTGTTAACATAGCCTACACTAGCCTAATACAGTATCAACCTTGGGTTCACATGTTCTAAGAAAGAACTCCAGTTACTGTGGAATATGTTCCAAAGAGCCTTCAAGTCTGGGATAAAGCAGGGAGTTGCATTGTAACTCCATGTCATTGGCTTCAAAAGCTACAGGTTTTGCTCCCACCAAGGATGTGCAGACCAAGTTCAGGTAGGCTGCGACACTGCAAAATGGATATTTTTTCACTATATAGGCCAGTATGTATTCTGAGCCAGCTTCTCTGGGGGAGGGAAACTCAGTGGTATGAAAATTTAATCATATTCTTTGTATTATACATCCTTCCATTGTTTTTCAAAAGTGAGCATTTTAATCTCCATTGTTTTAGTCCCCAGGGGTTTGTAAGTGTCACCTCTCCTCCTTTGTGCTTTCCACTGCCATAGTGCCAGGAAGGTTGGGGTGCAGACCAGTCGTCTCACTGCCATCTGCTCCAGCCTGGCCACCCCCAGACCTCAGGACAGAGGGAGCCCCGAGAGGCAGTGAGAGTGCAGTGAGATGCTATAGACAACACAATGGGCTGTGACAAGGAGCCCTTTGATGGCTCCTCCTTCATTTTGTGCACTTTCCAGAGCAGCTAAAGGCACATGGTGTGGGTTTCACCAAGTCAAGGAGAAGAGGATAAAGAGGAAAAATGAACAGACTGGATGGGGGATGGACGCAGAGGAGAAAATGTTTAACACAGTAATCTTTTTTCACTGCCTAGGAAAATAACTCTTGTGAAAACAGTTACATGAAAAGCAATAGATGGTTTTGTTTTTACTTAGCACTATCATGTTTTGAGGCAAATGGAAATTTACATAAAATGAAAACACACAGGATCAAGGATTATGTACAATTCTGTGATTAAGGTGCTTTGCAATTCAGGCAACGTTCTGCTAGAAACTCCTATCTTGGTTCCAGTTGCTGCAGATACTATTTGAGGAGGCAAAGAATAAATACATGGGTGAAGAGGAAAATAATTAAGTACCGTGGGCTAAATAATCAAGACTATTACAAGGAATATAAATAATAAATTTATAATGTATTGCGATACAAATAAGAAGTATTTTCAGTATAAAAATTGCATTTGCACAAAGAAGCTATTTAGTAACAAATACAATTACACTATATTGGAAACACGTCAAAGGTGTACCTAGTATGTCTCACATATACTAGGACAATGTCACAGTACACATGAAACTTTACTGAGAATAAGCCACCTGAAGGCCAAGTCCTGGTCTGAAGCTGTCACAGGCCTTTCAACAGAACTTCCTGGTTCAGGAAAGCTGTTCACAAGCTGTTGGAGGTTCATCAGACTTGATGACTCCACGTTGGTTGCAAGACAAGCTGTAACCTCAGGAGAACCAAAACGTAGGACTGAGGTAAAGAGATACTAAACAAGGAACTTTTCTGTTGGCACAAAGGATGTGAATACTTTCCAAAATGTTGTCATATTTAACAGGATGGGTCTACCACACATTTATAACACTGGCAGAAATAACACTTCGACACGGAGATAAAGGACAGACAGACATTGATACATTAGCAAAAGCACCAATGTCCTTTCTCTCACTTCAAGCCAATTTAAGGAGCTGAAATCTCAGGTGTACCCTGGCTTGTCTACCTTTTATTAACTCTTTAATGTTTCCCATCCTTCACTCTTGATTCGGTAATACAATAACAGTAAATACTTCAGTGCTGAAAGATATTTTTATCATCTACTCCGAAGGTGTTACAGGATGCAGGCTTACATATGCCCAAATCATGTAGCAACACCAGAGCTATCAACAGATTTGGGCCATAAATAAATAAAAATGTGGCTTTCTCCAGTGTCAAAAGCCAACCTGGCTAATGCTTGTTTGCTACCTCAATATAAGATTGCTAAGCAAGTTGGGTAGTGTAACAGACCTAGCAAGAGATGTAATAAAGGAAACTAAGAAAAAGCTAGGTAGAAGGTGCCTCATTGATGAAAAGGCACCTGCTCCAACTACTCAGTTACTTTTAATTCACCTGATTTTGATTTATACAAAATACTATTGTGTAAGTAAATAACTGATACTACAATATAGGAAAGCATGGCTAATGTTTACTTTTAAAATGAAAATCATGTTTCCATGCACTTGACTCCTGGAATAAATATAAGAAATATCCTTAAAATCCCACTGAAATGTTAATTTCAAATTATTTTAGGTTGACTTTTTGCCTTTAGTTTTACATTCAGTCAGTACTGAAAACAACCTAAAGGCCTCAGGTGGAAAGAAATGAAATTAGTTGAGTATTTATCAGACCACTTGGTAAAAACCCCATCTTTTGCCAGGATATTGAAAAACAGGAAAAACAGGGGGGAAAAATGGTTTGCATAGCCAGACTTTTAAACTTCTAATGAATTTTCTTCTCCAAGATGTTTTTCTTTGCTCACTCCATTTTTTAAAAGTATTGCTGATATATATATATATATATATATATAAATATAAAATTTGGGGTCCAACTGGAAATTGGCCTTACATTTCTAAAAGTCAAAGTAGATTTCATTCCCTCCTCTTTAGTCAAATATTCCACTTTAAAAAAAAATGATGTTATTACAAAGGAGGGGAGCTTATACATACAGAAAAGCCAAACTGAATCCTTTCTTAGTCTGTAGCTCTGAACTTGAGCTTAATGATCTTTGAAAACTCAATTCAGCTGATTGGAAGAGAAAGCAATCCAGTGCCGAGAGGGCACGCCCAGCTCAACAATGATCCAGAAAAGCTTCCCAGGATCAGGGAGATGGAGCTGCCACCATCAGAACGACTGCATTTTGGGTTAAGATGTATCAGAGACCTACCTTACGGAAGGAAAGAAAATGAGCAAATTCAAGATTTTCTTAGCCTCTCAGTTCTCTGATGGCCTCTAACTTGAGGTTGTGTTGCTGTCTGAAGAGAAAAACTATTATTGGTGACTCTTTTTTGGGGGGTGCAGGGGGGTTGTCAAACCATCTTATTGAGGATCTTTGGGGAAGGGTTGGAAGGGCTGGGAGGACAATGAGATCCGATGTCCTTGGTCTGGTCAGGATCTCCCAGCTTCATAGCTGCCAAAAGCTGGTGACTCTTTCTTATTTTGGGGGATAATCCTCACTCGAGGATATTTTTCTATTGATGTTTAGAAAGAGTGGGGAGGGGGAGAGACAGAGAGAAACACATCCATGTGAGAGACACATCAATTGGTTGCCTCCCGCAAGAGCTCTGACTAGGGAGCCTACAACTGAGGTACAGGCCCTAAACCAGAATTAAACCTGCGACCCTTCAGTCTGTGGGCTGACACCCTATCCACTGAGCCAAACCGGCTAGGGCAAAAAATCTGGTGACTCTCATGCTGCAGGATGAGGCTGTCAGGTAACTGAACTGGAGAGATGAAAAATAACCATCTCTAAAAATTAGATTTTGGCAGAATAAAAACCCCTTTTGTGTAAATTTGCAATAGGCTCATTCAAGCACAGAAAGACAGCAGGTTTCAGAACTGCTCCCTCCCGCCAATGATCCCGTGTTCAAAGTTAATGGAAGAAAAGGGTTATCTAAACAGCCAGATAAGAGTACACTGCATATTTCTTTCTTAAAATGACAGAAACTTTTAAATTTCATAAGCCTGCACTACTTATTATTCTGTCTGGACCCAAGGGGTGTAGAATCAACTTTAGTCATCTTTCATAAGGTTTGGAATCTAATTTTATGAATTTATTCTAAAACATAAATCAGGAAGGCAGAAGTAGATGGATGGATTTTTTAAAAGAAATTGGGCCTCCTGGGTACTTTTAGTAGATTGAGCACTGAGAGATTTACTGGGATAAAATTCTTTATAAGATTAAGAAAGAAGGAAATGAAACCAAATCTTTCATTTCCAGATACTCACTTTCATTAATTCTTTCACCAAAAGCACATCACTGAAGGAGAACCAGAAATGTTCAGTTATTATTAAAGTGGTTCAAGGCCAGGGAACCCCTTGAGATGAAAACAAAACAACACAGTATTCAAGTTTTCTTCACAAGACTACCTTGTACTGGCAAGACTTAGGGGACTTCTGGGTTGGGAAAGAATATTGCTGAAGGGACTTTTTGCAAAAAAAAAAATTACTCCATTTTGGCAAAAAACAACAAAATTGTCTCCTGTAAAATCCCTACTCCTTTTTGAATCCCCAAAGGTTACAATACTGCATTCGAGCTGCTTGGCAGTCTGGCTTCATGGGCTGCGGTTTTTGATTAACTAAACCCTTAAATCCACTAAACGCAGCTGATGTCTCACTAGGAAGCATTGTGAAGTGTGGGGAGCCTGCAGGCTGTTGGCAGGACAGCTGGAAATGGGACAGGTAAGAAATAAGACATAACAATGGAGATTTAAAGTCAAGACAACTGCCAAGCTCTTTTCTACAATAATCCAGGGCCCGCTCCATTTCTCTCTAAAAAAAGTGACCCAGTACTATGGTGCCTGATGTTTCTTATAGTTTGACAAGAGTAACTTCTTAACACAGGAGAAGCAAGACTTCTGCTACACATGAGGATGCACAGGCTGCTTTGCTTTCACTTTATGGGGCCTGCAGCCTTGTCAATGAACAGTCCTCACGAGGGCTGGGCATCACTACCTCTGGTCAAAACTCTCTCGCCCCAAGTAGATGCACGTGTGCCCATCCCAAATCCTCAAGCATATCCTAATACCACGCATCCTGATTGTCATGCCTGAAGGAGTCTCATTAATATACATTAGGCTTAATGCTGAAACTACATGACTAAGGTGGATTTTTAAGAGAAGCTTGCTCGGGAAACAAGGAGGATTTTGGTTTAGACTGCAGGCAGAGGGAAGCCGGCACACTCCTCTGCTCTATGTTCTTGGAAATAGTCTGTGAACCTAAGGTCCCTTATCAGCATGCTGACTTTTGCGCTGCCTCAATGTGTCTTCCGTGTCAGATGGACGGGGCTGCCCAGGGGCATCTTCCTCAGTCTCATTGGGTTCTCTTTCCTCCAGGGGCTCCCTCGGGGGCCCCTGGTCCTGGGTGTCACTCGTTTCCTCATCCGCACCAGCAGCCAGGTTGTCCTCCTCCTCTTCTTCCTCTGGTTCGTCCTCATCACCAAAGTCTTCTTTCTCTTCCTCGTCGTCTACAAGGCTGTCCTTGTTTTCTTCTTCGTTTGAGTCATCTTTTTCGTCCTCTGCATCCAGCAACTGTTCAGCCCTATGAGCCTCCTCTGACTTCCGACTCTGCTCTGTGGAGGGAAGAGGGGAATGGCCTCTGAATAAACAATGGTCACTCAGCAATCAAACTGGCTGTGGAATAAAGCAAGGGGGCACACAACAGTCTTCTCCACCTTGAAGCTGTTATTACCCAGGACAGATCTCTGGTTGGCGTCCTAGCCCAGCCCAGGAGGGCAAAGGTTCCCTCAGGCTTTGTATTTTGTACCTTGTAGAACCTGGCTCAGTGACCTACTCACTAGCCTTGGTAACTGATTCACCATATGACAAGCTGAGCCAATCAGAGTGCTCCCCAGCAGTTTCTGCCAGAGTACGGAGGAAAAGCTCTCACTTTCTACAGTGATTGCTACTGCTTTTGACAGCCACTGAAATCAGTCACATGGGAGCACAATCTAACATCCCTGGGCTGTGCTTGAAGCTAGAACAACCCTGGGCTTTCAGTTGTGTGTGTTAAATACATTTTCCTTTTTCCCCAAATTGCTTTAAATTGGCTTTCTGTTACTTCTAAGAATTCTAAGGAACATAATATACCCCTAATTATAGTCATGTGTGGCATTGCAATGTTTCAATCAAGGACATATTGCATATACCACAGCAGTCCCATCTAAATATACCAGAGGCCCAGTGCACAAAAATGTGTGCATTTGGGGGAGGGGGGTCCCTCAGCCCAGCCTATGCTCTCTTGCAGTCTGGGACCCCTCGGAGGATGTCCACCTGCT